AGTTGAAGCTTTCATACACGTCCAATCGCAGGGCTGTTTACAAACGGAAAACGGAGAGACTGTTCGGGAGAGCTCGTGAAAACTCGACGATAAGGTACCTGACCGCCCCTAAAATTTTCTCAACGGATTTAGACGATTCACAAAAATGATCAAATTAAGAAATAAAACGGCGGATTTCCGCGGATCCGCGGAAAATTGCCATGTATGTATATATATTTTTGTTATTCTTATGGTAAACGTCTGTTGAACAAACAGATCAAAACGGGTGGCCAAAATAATTTTCAATGTAACTTATTTCATAACTCTCGAATGACGGTAAGTGTTTCCGAAAGGAATGGTGTGGACTGTGGTTAGTCAACTCCACCGAGATGGCGGTGATGCCCCATGTGTCGCTTTAAAAATGACCACAGAAGAAGAACCTACCAAAGAAAGACCGGTGCTTGGACGCCATCATGTGGCAGTATTGTCAGACGCGTTTTAGTGTTTTCAAAGTTGTCATACATGGACGCTCCAGTCGGCACCTAAACTCCACATAAGAGCCCTTCTTTGACTCCATTCCCATCCGAGCGTTGAAGGTTTATTTTTATTCCTCAGTCATCTTGAAAAGGTGTACGAACACATGCTCTTTTTGCTGCGTAAGATACCATGCTAGCTAGCTAACACGACAATTAAGTGCTAGCTTCGGCGTTTTTGTAGTTAGCCATGGACCCGCTAAGCATAGTGGAGGATGAAGTGGCTTTGGAAGGACTGGACGGCATCACTATTCCCGCTTTGTGGATACGACTGGGGGATAGGAAGCCCAGGTTCCCACTCAAGCTGGACGACAGCACCAAGGAGTTCATCTGGAGATCGCTGGTGGCCAACAGTGACTTGACGTTCTACCTGCTTCCCGCCGAGAGGGATGATGTGGTACTGTACGACAGGTGGGTTCACTGAGCTATGCTGTAATAGGCTTTAAAATGCTCATACGAGGTCTGTCAGAAAAAAATGTCACCTGAGGTCGAAAATCCCAGCCGCCTCTGCCGTGTCTTCTTGCACATCCGAAAGCATTCTTCTGGGATCTTCCGCAGCTCTGGTCAGCTTGATGTCGTCTAAGTCTTGAAAACTGGTCCCGTGATGACCCCATTGAGAAGAGGGAAATGTCAATAGAGATGTTTTTCTCGCCGAGAATTGTCGGATGGTTTAGTAACTCTGGCCAGACGCCCTGTCATGGTGAAATAGTTTTCGCTGCCATAACTTTTGCCTCTTCTCAAAACGAATGCTGGTGGATATCTTTGTAAACGTACCGGTTGATTGTCTGCCCTAGTGGCAAGAACTCTCAAAGAATATGTACGTGTCAGGTTTCAGTCTAATGAAGAGAATGACGTTGAAGACAAGGATGTGTACCCGGTGCACATCATCCGTGACAACAAGGACGGCTTGCAGGGCTCGTGTGCCACCTTCTGCCAAAGGAGAGATGTCACGGCGCGCCTCCGCTCCCCGTCGCCAATCGCCCTGGACGAATCTTTAAAAAGGTGCCACCTCGTCATATTGTCAGCCTGTCGACACGAGCGTCACCTCTCGTCTTCCACGCTGAAGGTACGGCAGGAAGCTGGTGGCGGTGGCATCGCAAGGGCGCCGTTTCCTCGCTCTCATCGGCAGCGAGAGCGACCCTGACGCCAAACTGACGGATGACTCATACTGCATGCTGGAGCGGGTGGGACGGGCACGATGGCAGGGGGAGATGCAGAGTGAACTGCACAAGTCCTCTTTCAAGTACACAAGCACTAACACATTCTCACAGCCAAATGCGCAGCATGTGATGTTTGTGTCTTCCTGTGTGTGTGTGTGTGTGTGTGTGTGTGTGTGTGTGTGTGTGTGTGTGTGTGCGCGCGCGCGCGCGCGCTTGTGGTCAGGGTGGACTCACGTAAGTTGCACTACATCAGGAAGCCTCTGATCCGCCACCGGCTGGGGGGCCGCCCCGGCC